CACACACACACACACACACACACACAGATTCGACAGCAGTCAGTGTGTTCTTTCTGACTCCCGGGTGACGCGCACTTGTTTTCATCGTGATTTACATGTAAAAACCAGGTTATATTTTTGTTGAACAGGTTATGGGAGGCTGTGTACAGTGCCTGTAAACACAAGAAGGGTCAACACAAAGCACAGATTATTTAAAAACCAATAAAATGGATTGGAAGTTTTATTTAGATTTAAGTGATACAGTAAAACATTAATACTGAATGAAGAGATTTTACTGTTATAAAAACAGTAAAAAAAAAAAAAAGAATAAAATATTAAGGTGTCAGAATGAATATGAAACAAGGCCAAAATTCGGGAAAAATTAAAAGTTGGTCAAAAAGTATAAAGTGACTATTTTTAAATGATATTTAGTATTGCTTTTGTGTATGAATGTGTTTTCTTTTTTCTCTTGTTTGTTACATGTGAACTTTTCTGTTGATGCTCTTTAATGTTCTGTTTGAACAATATCATTTCTGTTTCTTAAGAAAAAACATTCTACTGACATGCAGTGCTTCAGGTCAGACGCCTCGTGTTTTGTGTTCAGCGTGATTCTACAGCAGTGGTGATGCAGAAACTGAGCTTTCTGACAAACTCAATCAACAGAACCAGGCTAGTGAAGACCAGTCCTCATAAATCAGAGCTGAATGAATGAATGGAGTGTGTGGAAGCCGGGCTGTCATTCGTCTCACACGGAGGGCCGTGACCTGCTCTGTGAGCCGGTCAGAAGTCAGCGGAGAATGAAAGGCCTGGGGCTCCTCGCAGGACAAAGAGACGTGGTCAGATATTGAGCTCGACTTGCTTTCCCAGCGGGCTTTGCATACTAAAGCATGAGAGAGGAGCTTCATCGCTCTCCAGATCATGGGACAAAGGCCACAGCAGCTTTACTGAGGAAAAGCTCCTCCATGTCGACATCCGTCGTTCCCGCTGGATTTCATTCACAGAGATGGTGCAGGATCACACGGCTCGCGCTTCTTTCATCTCTTAACGACGTTTGTGCAGTTGCTTGTGTTCATAAACCCCCGGTTGAGCGCAGGACAGACCAGCGTCTGGACGTCTCACTCATGCGGCTCTCCGGATCTCCTCTCAGACTCCTCTGCTCGCTGCTCCTCATGCGGCTCTGGCCCGTCGCTGCGGATCATCCGGGAGTCTGTCCCAATCACCTGAACCTGAACCTGTGGGTGGATGCGCAGAGCACCTGTGAGAGGGAATGCCAGACCGACCAGGTGAACACACCCTCACTCAGTCACTGCCTCAGACTACATCAACAACATAGTTGTAGTAGAAATAGAGAGCACAAATTACAGTTCTTTTGAAAGACAAGCAGTTTCCTTGGACTTTCCTTTTTAGTAGCTAATTAGGTTTTCAGTGACCTGTGTCATGTTAAAGTAAATTTGTGTTCAATTTCTTTTTTTCTTTTTTTTTGAGTAGTTTTAATTTTGGGATATGAATATACAGTTACAAAAAATTTCAGTCAATGAGATTTATTATGTTTGTGAAAGAAGTCTCTTCTGCTTACAAAGGCTGCATTTATTTGATCAAAAATACAGTTAAACAGTGAAATATTATTATCCTTTAAAACAGCAGTTTTCTGTGTGAATATCTGTTAAACTGTAATTTATTCCTGTGATGCGCAGCTGTATTTTCAGCATCATTACTCCAGTCTTCAGTGTCACATGATCTTCAGAAATCATTCTAATATGCTGATTTGCTGCTCAAGAAACATTTCTGATTATTATCAATGGTGAAAACAGTTGTGCTGCTTCATGAAGTGTGGAAACCACA